GCTGTGTTCATCTAGCTCTACACCTTGTTATCATTGATAAACATCTGTTTTGATTGACCCCAGCTTCATCTCATGATCTTTCCCTCTCAACCCTTTGTAATTCCAAAATCATCCTTTGTGTGAGCTCACTTAACCTGCCTGTTTCAATAGTTTTCAGAGAGAACTTCTACAATTAACTTTTTTTTTCTCCCAAATATTATGAAAGCTCAAAACAAAAATCTTTAGTCACTAAAAATCCAATGAATCCAGGAGAATGAATTCTTGTGTTGAGAATATGGAGCTTGTTGCCATGTGGAGTGGCTGAGGCAAATGCTGTAGCTGCCTTCAGAAACTAATGCCGTGTTTTACTGCTGAATACTTGAAGTGAAGAGAGACAATTTTCTCAAGCTTGTGGAGCTTTTTGTTTGTCCAAATTAGTGTTAGAGTGAAACCCCCTCTACAATAAATTGGGAAGGTGCACAAGTGAGACAGGAGTAGACGCATATATTCATAGGGTGCAATCAACTATGGAGAAGGGGTTTGTGTGGAGCATAAATAGACTAGTTAGGCCGAATGACCATTTTCTGCACTGCAAATTCTGTGAGCATAGGTTGGCAATGTGATCAATTCTGGAATGTGCACGTCAAATTACAGTGCCATTCAGAGTTTAATAATTTACTCTAGTGATTACCAAGAATGGTACATGAATCACAGGAGAGGCAGTCCACTATGGAAATATATCACATATATATTTGTGTGATAAGACAGCATTTTCGGATGATTAGATGATTAGAGAAAATAATGAGTCAGAAGAGAAAACTCTGACCCACTTTGGAAGGTATAATATTTAATGTTCTTTTAGCAAAAAAAAAAGTGGCTTTTAAATCCAATAACTATTGCTGAGAGAAGACACATTTTTGTCCAAGCTTTTTATTTTGCACTCATCAGGACGTCTACAAGAATACCCATGCAACAAGGAGCAACATTTCATGAGAAGAGAATGCTGTTTTGATTGGCAAATGGACTAAATTTGTAGAGGCATTGCTGTGGAGAATATAAGGGCTGGATGATGACTGACAGTTAACTGCCATGGTTTATGTTTAAATCAGGCAGTTTGACTGGTCAAGCCGTTGCCCTGAGAAATGAACCACATATTCCTTCTGCCAGTGGAAGGCACTGGGTATTAATAGATTAAGGTTTTCTTTTATTATTAATGTAGCTTCCAGTACACAAGTGCACCACTCTGCAAGCCCAATGGTCAAACTTAAATTGGTTTGTGTAATTCACAGCACACTCAGTATTATTTAGCCAGTATTGCTCAATCAGTGAATCGCAACTGTTTTTCAGAATGTTCTTAAACATCCTAAGGGTCTCCTCAAATTCTTCTTTTCATGCAATATTACATGTTGTTCCTGATTACATTGACATTCTTGTGAAATGTCTTCATGAATGCAAGATGAAAATCTGATAAACTATATTTTTTAGCATACTCCAGTTCTGTATTACAAGATGACAGTAACAAATGGTAAAGTGGTTGCCTTTCTTTATCTCTTGCCAGCGTGTACTAGATTTGGAGAAAGAGAACACACTGCTGAAGGATGAGAAAGACAAACTAAACCAGAGCATCAAGAATGAGTCGAAGGATGTCGCAGGTGAGAGCTTATTGTAATGATATCAAATTCCTCTAGTTTTGCTCTGAAATACTGGTGCTTTAGAGGCATCAGGATAAGATATGACTGATGATATAATCTGCTAACATTGGAAGGATACGTGCGATTCAACCAATATGCTTAAAAACTATGCACTCAAATGTTTTGTTATCTCTATCTTATGAAACACATGAAATTGTGTATAATTTGCTGTTAAATAAAGCCAGATACTGTCCTTCCATTCCTTAGTGCTTGCATTCTCACCTTTAATGTGTATTAAATAAACTTACCTGAGTGTTTAAGCAATGATAGTCTCCTCGTTTCGTCAAATTGAAGGATTTTTCTTTTCCATTCACTTACTGTCTGGTTAATGCATAACCTGCCCACAGCTCATGCATGCTGATACTCCCATTGAATGGCAACTTCTCAAATCTGTTCCAAATGGCTGCCTGCTATTCCAGTGGTTCTAATAGTGCCCATTGGAGATTTCCTGTTGACTGTGAATAAACGCAGCAAACCCAGTACAATAGGAGCACGTGAATCTGATTAGCAACATTTTCTTTCTGCCTCAACCCATTGCCTATAACAGGATTGCACTGTATCTACAGAAAAACTCTCTCGGAAGACAGCAAAGGAAAGTGAGCGGGCAAAGGAGCTGGAAGAAGAGCGGTCTCGTTATCAAAACCTCCTGAAAGAGTATTCCCGTCTGGAGCAGCGCTACGATAATCTGCAGGAGGAAATAAATCTAATTAAGGTGATTTTCTAAAGCTAAAGATTCTTTAAAACAATAACGTATATTACAGAAATGTACACTATAGAACACTGAGCAGGACTTGCATATATTTCTGATATTACTGCAGTTCAGGCCAGAAAATGTCCAGAATTGAGCCCAGTTGCCGTCTCTGTTGCACCTTAAAAGTGGTCATGGTTTGGGCTCAGTGAGATGTCAGTGTCTTTGGTGAACAGTAGAAGCTCACAAAAGTTGTTCATATCATTTCCCAGCCATCAAGGGCAATGGAAGTATTGGTCAACAAACAAAAATACTGCCATTTCCTGCTTAGGACATTTAGTAATGTCATGGGTATCCAACATGCATACAGTGAAAAAGAGATTGTTAGCTTTGATCAGGTATTCTTGTCAACTGCTCATTGGGAAAGTAAAATTGCAACATACCAGCTTCTGGCAATCCAATGGCTTGTAAATCCCTGATGATTTTAACTGTCCATCTGGTTCACTAATAGCCTTCAGGCAAGGAAACTGCCATCTTTATCTGGTTTGGTCTACATGTGACTCCTGACCCACAGCAATGTATTTGACTCTTAACTACAATTAGGGATGGGCAATAAATGCTGGCCCAGCCAATGATGCCCACTTTCTGTGAATGAATTTTAAAAAAGCCTTGCAATCATCCCAATCATGTCTCTGGGAGAAAGAGAGGCAGTTAGTTGCTTTTGGCAGGATGCCATGCTCATGTGGTGTACAAGTCAGATAGAACTACAACAATAGGTCAGAGTTTGTGTGCTTAAGATTCCCCCCTAGGAGCACAGCACATTGAATTGCATCATATCCAGAGTGGAAATATTATGGCAGCAAATTGTGACCAATTGCAGTCCTGCAAAAGTATTTTGCAGCTGATCAATAACTTGACTCATTCCAAGAATATCTTAAAAGTTGAGATCTAATCTTCTTGAAACATATAAGACCTTTTGTAGTGCCAGGATAGGCAGTATACTAGGTGGATGTCTCCCCTTGTGTAGAAGACTAAACCAGAGCATATTGTTTAGGAGTAAGAGGTGTTTCTTTTAAGGTTAAAATATGGAGATTTTTTCCTCCTGAGGATCAATTGAAAGTTGAATTCCCATCCTGGAGACAGAGGGAGAAAATGGAGCTGAAACTACAACCAGACCTGCCATTGAATGATGAAACAAGGTCAAAGAGCCAAATGACCTATTGCTGCTTCTATATTCCTGGGCTCAAATATGGTTCAGTAACCTAACATCTGGGGTGGATACGAGATATGGACCACTGTGAAACACAAAGTTAATTTTGGTAGCCCAGTGCAAATATCTAGGTTTCATGTTTCCAAAAGCACTGCTTACTATGCTCATCACCACTTCAGTTGTTGTTTCACTGTTGAGAGTTGTTTTTGAGGCCCACAAATTAAGCAAGTCATACCTTCCTGATTGTGGATAAAATAAGAATTGAGCCTACGAGAATAGGATAAATATTGTTACCCCCTCAGCTCAGTTTCTCCCCTGAACTTTCTAATAAGCTGAGTATAATGTATTGGACACCAGTTGCTCTTTCAAATAATCATTTTTCTTATGTGATGCTAAACAGTAAGTGTGGGGAAGCTATTAGTAGGAGATATCATAGCCAAGTTTATTTCTGGTCTCGTTTTATTTTCTATCCAGATTGGACAGGAAAAATTGTTATAATCGATATCTTCCTGCCTTGATCAAAGAAATGCAAACCAGCTCTATTTGAAATTAACTAAGTATGCAGGTCAAGGCTTTAATATGGGATGCTCTGGTTTATGTGGCTCAGTTTTAATTTGGGAGCTGACTTTCTGTTGTCTCATTTCAAGAGTTCATTCATACAAAACACATGCATAGGATATGATCAGTTCAGTCAATGATGTCAGAATTCTATTACATGGTGGCACTATAATGTTGTGAAATTCAAAATCTATCTTTCTATGAATTACCACTTCATTTAAAAATTATTACAGCACACTCCAGGCCACAGGAGAAATCCATCCAATCAAAGCAGTCTTGGATCTGATTCTAACTACCCTTCCATTTCTACATCTGAGGCTGGGGATACAGAGGATGCAGTGCAGCTGGTGGAGGTGAGAGATCATGTGACAGGTTTACAATTCTATAACTTTATAACTTCAAGACCAAATAGGTACAATGTTTCCTGCTAAAATGATAAAGCATTAAGTTCATGTTTAAACATAATCTGACATGTAGCAATTTTCTAATCATAGAATCATATAGCACAGGAAGGGGCTATTTAGTCCATAATTCCTGTACCAGCTCTTTGAAAGACACGTTTAACTGGTGATATTCCCCTGCTCTTTTCCCATAGCTTGGCAAATCATTCCTTTTAAAATATATATCCAACAACTTTATGGAAGTTACTCTGCTTCCACCACCCTTTCAGATAGTTCATTCCAGACCATAGCAACTCCTCTAGCTGCTGAGATTGCGGTGAGCATGATCAAAGAAAAGCACCAGAAATCTCTGGTTGCCTGTCTCCATCTTCCCTTTGTTTCTCACACACTAGCAGAGTGTGCATTGGATACGTCTAGATCTTACCATTCATCAAATTATCTGTGAACTGTGATTGGGGCAGTTGTTCTGGAATGTCACTTGATTCAGAATTCAATTTATGCCAAGTATTACCTATTGCTTCAGAGGACTGTTTTAATGAAAGAAATGGATAAACAAGACTCAGCCCAAGCTGACCACAGCTGATAACAATGAACAGTGTTTATGCTTCACTGGGGTAGAACTCTGGAAATCAAACCCTGCTTTTCCCACAGTCATTACACAGGTTGAAGACTTTTTAAAAATTATACAGAGCTCTCAAATCTGTATGTCCTTTAGACATGGTGGACAAAAAGCATGAACCAGGATTCTGTACTGAACAAGAATTACTATTTCTTTCAAATAAATCAATTCTAACTACTGATAAACAATACTGAACCATGGACATGTATAACTGTACTAGTTAAAATCTAACCCCCTTATAGCCACCACTGCCAATCCCCACATCCACCCCACCATGATTCATGTGCTGATCAGAATTTTGCAGAGATCCACTTGGTTCTCAAAAAGCATTCACAATCCTGAGCTGATCAACTACCTAGGAGTCCATCACATAGTTTTTGGCAGGCAGACTGTCTTTAGTAACTAGTCACTAGTCCGCCAGTCAATCACTTGTTATCGTCCAAAGTTTCATTTGTACACACCCCTTGGCTCCAGCCCGTTTGCAAACTAGGCTTCTGCTACTGCTTGAACAAACAACTGTGTAAACAGTATTTACAATGAGTGTCAGGCTGCTTGACTTTTTAAAAAAAAAAAGTAGCAATCCTTCATAAATCCTCCCTTTCAAAAAGTTATTTTTCCATTTCAGTAACAGAATCAAAAATACAGTAAAAGATCTAGTCTTTACTACAACTGCATGAGTGTGTGACACCATAGGCAGAAATGCATAATTGTGTATTGCGTAATCACCTTAGTGTAATGTCCAATTCTTGTAAGGTATTAATATACTTAATAACAAGTCATAGAGTTATTCATCAATGAAACAGACTTTTTGGTCCAACTTGTTCACACCAACCAGATATCCTGAGCTGATCTAGTCCCATTTGCCTGCATTTGGCCCATATCTTAAACCCTTCCTATTCATGTACCCATCCGGGTGCCTTTTAAATGTTATAATTGTACCAGCCTCCTGCACTTCCTCTGGCAGCTCGTTCCATACACACACCACCCTCTGAGAAAGTTGCCCCTCAGTTCTTGTGAGCCATTTGAGGCAATTAGTCTTTAATGAAAAGTTGTCTGGTTTGGTGTATTTTAGATGTTTCTTTGTTCACAGGAAGCTGGCTTGGAGAATGCTGCCATGGACATGACTATATTCTTGAAACTACAGAAACGAGTGCGGGAACTGGAGCAGGAAAGAAAGTTGCTGCGTGCAGAGATTGAGCGAAAAGAAGCAGCAGAAGCAGAAAAGGTGGTGCAGTAATAAATTAATTCTGAAAAACCATTTGTGTGTGATCTCACTTGAAAATGCAATTTTTTTTAATTATGCACCTATTTAATTTTTAATTAATCATTTGGTATTTCTGCCCTGAAAAGGTTATGAGATTTATTTGGCTGTCTAGGTAATTACAATGTTACTGTGGAAGGAAATCTTACATTTAATCTCTAGTCTAATTTCAGTACCTAATATCAGTTGGAAAGCAGTAGAGAGACTGTAATTAACTTTGATCTCCTTGGGCTATGTGGAGCACTCTAGGAGACAGTGACTGCCCACTAATGTGGGTGGACAGTTGATATTGCAAAGATCATGTTAACTGTGTTGTCTATTCATCATCAAATAACTTGCCAATGTTCTGGCCTAAGGTCGTACGTTAAAAAAAAAATGCCTCTTGGATGGAGTGAGGTACTGGAAACTTGGTTCTGCCTATTATTACCCTAAAATAAGTCAGTATTTTCAGGAGAAAATTTAGGAAGAAAATTTGAAGTCTCAAGATGTTTTTTCAAGTTTTACTTTCCATGCTGTTGGTGTATGACAGTAACATAGTGTTTCTTCTGACCAGGCGAACGAATACAATAGCATCCCGGAGAATGAGCAAGCAGCAGATTTGGCTTACAACAGTTTAAAGGTATGAGGTGAACCAATTAGGATATTGATTACAGAGTAAGCCGTTGAATGTATGTTTCCTACTCTGAGTAAGAACCAACAAGATCCACGAGTGACAGACCCAGGGACTCTTTCTCTAGGTTGGCCTAACCCAATGATTCGTTTTTAAAGACTTAATATAGGTTGTATTTTAATGCAATAAAATTAATGGAAAAATTAATTTCCTGTTGGAGACTGATCTAATACGCATATGATGTTTCCCCACTTTGTGGAAAATTGAAAATTTCAGTACTCCACTTTGCCCATTTAATTGATATTCTTTTCCAGGTTCTTTTGATCTTCTAAATGATTAAATATATTTGGGTATCATCTGCAGATGTGAACAACACTACGTCTTGATCTGTATCCAAATTATTGGTAGACAGTAATCAGAACTAAACCCTGAGAGCCTACTTTAACCACTTGGAAAAGCTCCCCTTTTTTTATTCTACCGTGGGATGTGGGCGTTGCTGGAAGGCCAGCATTTATTGCCTATCCCTAATTGTTCTTGGAATGTAGTGGTGAACAACTGCCTTGAATCGCTGCAGTCTGTATGGGAACAGTTTTGTACATTTCTGAGGGCGGTTAAGAGTCAAACACATATCTGGATCTAGTCATGTGCCGGAATGGTAGATTTCCTTCGCTAATAGACATAGTGACCAGATATCTCTTTCAAGAAAGTTGATGCTAGTTTCAAAGTCACTGAGACAAACTTTGATTTCCATGTTTATTAATTCATTGAATTTAAATTCCACCAGTTGCTGCTTTCGTTTTACATTCAATCGCAGGATATGGGTATCATTGACTCTATGGGAAGAGTGTCTCACTAGAAGGCCATTATTTGTTGCCCATCTCTAATTGCCCTCATCAATGTGGTGGTGAGCTGCTAATTTGAACTGCTGCAGCCTATGGCAGTAGGGATCCCCCACAATACTGTTAGGTTGCATGATCCTGGATTTTATTCCAGTGACAGGGATGCAGTTCCAAGCAGGACTGTGGAGAGGAATTTGTAGATGGTGGTGTTCTTATGCATCCGCTGCCCTTGTCCTTCTAGGTCTTAGAGTTTGCGGGTGTGGAAGATACTGTCGATCAAGCCATGGTGAGTTACTGCAGTGCATCTTGCAGATGGTACAAACTGTTGCCATTCTGCATTGGTGGTGGAGAGTGCATGGGGTGTCAAACAAGTCTCCTGGATGGTGTTGGGTTTCTTGAATGTTTTTGGAGCTGGACCTGTGCAGGCAAGTGCAGAATATTCCTCCGCAATCCTGACTTGTGTCTTGTAAATGGTGGATGGGCTTTGGGGAGTCACAGTGAGTTACCATTGACTTCCCAGCCTCAAAGCCTGCTCTTGTAGCCAAAACCACAAAAAAACCCAAAGAACTCCAGATGCTGGAAATCAGAAACAAAAATAGAAATTGCTGGAAAAACTCAGCAGGTCTGGTGGCATCTGTGGAAAGAGAGCCTCATCCATCCCACCCTCCTCCTCCTGGCTGAGTGCATCTTCACTTTGAACAACTTCTCCTTTAGCTCCTCCTACTTTCTTCAGGTTAAAGGGTACTTGCATGGCCCCAGTTATGCCTGTCTCTTTGTGGGGTATGTGGAACATTCCTTGTTCCATTCCTACTCTGGCCCCCGCATACCCACAACTCTTTCTCCAGTACATTGATGACTACATCGATGCTGCTTTCCTTTTTAATCCAGAATTGGAAAAGTTTATCAATTGTCTGTTCTGATGATGCCAATGTAGACAAGGTGTTCTCTGAAATGTCTACCACCTTCCTCAACCAATGATTCCTCATCTCCTGCACTTTGGCCCTTAACCCCTCTCTTCCTACCCACAACAGTGATAGGACCTCCCCTCGTCCTCACCTCCCATCCCACCACATCCACATTCAAAGGATCATTAGCTGCTATTTCTGCCACTTTCAGTAGGATGCCACCACATATTCCCCTCCCCTCCCTTGTCAACCTTCTATAGGGACCATTCCCTCTGGGACATCTTGGTCTACTCCTCCACTCTCAACACCACCTAACACCCCATGGCACCTTTCCGTGCAATCAGAGGTTTAACACCTGACCATGTACTTCCTCCCTTTTCACCTACCCAAAGCCCGGACACACTTCATACGTGAAGCAGCAATTTACCAGCACTTCACTCTAGACCGCTATATTTATGCGTGGTGTGGTTTCTTCTAGGCTGGGGAGACAAGTGTAGGTCCCCTATAGACAAAAATGGGGAAATGTATAATAGGGGACAAAGAAATGGCTGAGCAACTAAATACATTGGTTTTGTCTTCACAAAAGAGGACACAAATGAGATATTGAAATCTTGCAGAATGCAAGACTTAGTGAGAGGGAAGAATTGAGGGAGATCAATATTAGTAGAGAAATGGTGCTGGGAACATTGATGGGATTGAAGGTGGATAAATCCCCGGGGCCTGATAATCTACATCCCAGAGTATTTAAGGAAGTGGCTGTAGAAATAGTGGATGCGTTGGTTGCCATCTTCCAGGATTCTATAGACTCTGGAACAGTCCCTGCAGATTAGAGGGTGGCTAATGTCACTACAGTATTCAGAAAGGGAGGTACAGAGAAAAAAGGGAATTATAGACCAGTAAGCCTACTTTCGGTAGTGGGGAAAATCCTTGAGCCCCTTTTCAAGGACTTTACAGCAGGGCATTTAGAAAGCAATGGCAGGATCAGACAGAGTCAGCATGGATTTAAGGGAAAATCATGCTTGACAAATCTGATGGAATTCTATGAAGATGTAACTAGTAGAGTTGACCAGGGAGCCAGTTGATGTGGTATATTTGGACTTTCAGAAAGCGTTTGACATAAGATTATTGCGCAAGATTAAAGCGCATGGGATTGGGGGAAGTGTATTGAGATGGATAGAAAACTGGTTGGCAGAAAGGAAACAAGGAGTAGGAATTAATGGGTCCTTTTCAAATTGGCAGGCAGTAACTAGTGGGGTGCCACAGGGATCGGTGCTGGGACCCCAGCTATTCACAATATATATTAATGATTTGGCTGAGGGGAACAAAATGTAACATCTCCAAATTTGCAGATGATACGAAGTTGGGAGGGTGAACTGTTATGAGGATGCAGAGATCCTTCAGTATAACCTGGACAGGTTGAGTGAGTGGGCAAATCATTGGCAGATGCAGTATAATTTGGATAAAATGTGAGGTTATTCACTTTGGAAGCAAAAACAAGGCAGCAGATTACTACCTGAATGGCTGTAAATTGGGAGAGGGGAGTGTGCAGCGGGATCTGGGTGTCCTTGTGCACCAGTCACTGAAGATAAGCATGCAGGTGCAGTCGGCGGTAAAGAAAGCAAATGGTATGTTGGCCTTCATTGTGAGAGGTTTTGAGTACAGGAGCAGGGATGTGTTGTTGCAGTTATACAGGGCCTTGGTGAAGCTACGCCTAGAATATTGTGCGCAGTTTTGGTCTCCTTTTCTGAGGAGGGATGCTCTTGCTCTCGGGAGTGCAGCAAAGGTTTACCAGGCTGATTCCAGGGATGGCGGGTCTGACATATGAGGAGAGATTGACTAGGTTAGGATTGTTTTTGCTAGAGTTCAGATGAATGAGGGGGAATCTCGTAGAGACTTATAAAATTCCAACAGGACTAGACAAGGTAGATGCAGGGAGAATGTTCCCGATGGTGGGTGTGTCCAGAGCCAAGGGTCACAGTCTGAGGATTTGGGGTAGATGATTTAGGATGGAGATAAGGCATTTCTTCACCCAAAGAGTGGTGAGCCTGTGGAAGTCATTACCACAGGAAGTAGCTGATGCCAAAACATTGAATGTATTCAAGAGGCGACTAGATATAGCACTTGGGACGAATGGGATCAAAGATTTTGGGGAGAAAGCAAGATTAGGCTCTTGAGTTGGACGATCATCATGATCATGAAGAATAACAGAGCAGGCTCAAAAGGCCAAACAGCTCATATCTTGAATGTTTCTGAGACGAAACACAGATTGGATGACTGCTTTGCTGAACATCTACGTTCCGTCTGCAAAATTGACCCTGAGCTTCCAGTTGACAATTCAACACACCACTGTATTCCCTAGCTGTCATAGAGCCACACAGCCCAGAAACAGATCCTTTGATCCAATTCATCCAAGCTGACCAGCTATCCTAATCTCACCTAATCCTATTTGCCAGCATTTGGCCCATATTCCCCTAAACCCTTCCTATTCATATACTGATCCGGATGCCTTTTAAATGTCGTAACTATTACCAACAATTCCTCTGGCAGCTCATTCCATACACACACCACCCTCTGTGTTGCAAAAGTTACTCCTAAAGTCTTTTTTAAATCTTTCCCCTCTTACCTTAGATCTATGCTGTCTAGTTTTGGACTCCTCCCACCCTAGGAAAAAGACCTTGGCTATTCGCCCTATCCATGATTTTATAAATGTCAATAAGGTCACCTCTCAGCCTCTGATGTTATGATAGGAAAAGCTCCAGCATAATGAGCCTCTCCTACAACTCAAACCCTCCAATCCTGGCAAAATCCTTGTAAATCTTTTCGGTACCCTCAAGTTTAACAACAACTTTCCTATAGAAGGGCGACCAGATTGTATGCAATATTCGAAAAGTGACTTCACCAATATCCTGTACAGCTGCAACATGATGTCCCAACTCCTATACTCAATGTTCTGACCAATGAAGGTAAGCATACCAAACGCCGCCTTCACTATCCTTGTCTATCTATGACTTTCAAGGAACTATGCACCTGCATCCCTAGGTCTCTCTGTTCATCAGAACTCCCCAGGGCCCTACTGTTGACTAAATCCTACTCTGGTTAGCCTTGCCAAAATGCAAGACCTCACATTTATCTAAATTATACTCCATCTGCCACCCCTTGACTCATTGGCCTGTCTGATCAAGGCCCTGTTGTACTCTGAATTCTTCTTTATTGCCCATTACACCACCAATTTCGGTGTCATCAGCAAACTGACTAATCATATCTCCAACATTCACATTTAAGTCATTTATATAAATGATAAAAAGCAGTGGTCCCAGCACCTATCCTTGTGGCACACCGCTGGTCAGAGACCTCCATTCTGAAAAGCAATCCTCTACCATCACCCTCCGTCTCCTACCTTCAAGCCAATTTTGTACCCAATTGGCTAGCTCCCCCGGATCTCATGTGATCTAACTTTACTAACCAATCTACCATGTGGAACCTTTTCAAACACTTTGAAGTCAATATAGACAACATCTGTTCTGCCTTTATCAATCTACTTTGTTACCTCTTCAAAAATCTCTGTCTCAGGATAGCTGCAGTGCTCCAGCAAAGCTCAGCACAAGCTGGAAGAATAACACCTCATTTTCCACTTGGGAACCCTGCAACCTTTGGGTCTCAATATTGAGTTCAAAAATTTTAATCTGAAGCCACAGGACACCATGTTCTAGTCCAATGGGTTTATTTGAAATGACAAGCTTTCAGAGCACTGCTCCTTTGTCAGGTCACTTCACCTGAGGAAGGAGCAGCGCTCCAAAGCTTGAGATTTTAAATAAACCCATTGGACTAGAACAGGGTGTCGTGTGACTTTGGATTTTGTCTGTCCCTGTCCAATACTGGCACCTCCGCATCACCACAATTTTAGGGTCTGAGCGCTTTCTCCATGTCCCTAATTCAGCACTCTCATACCAGGCCTTGTCGTCATATGGGCTGCCTTCATAAATAACCCATTGTCAGCCACTAACAATCCCCATTAGCAGCTATTCGTTCTCCTAGACTGTCCTTTACTCGTTGCTTTGTTTGCCCAACTGTTTTTCTCTTTCTTGGGCTCCATCTCCACCAATTGTTTATTCTTCCCCCTTCTTCAGCATGTATACCATCCTTTCCCTTGCGAAATCAATTCTGAAGTGTCATTGGACCCAAAGCCTCAACTTTGCTCTCGCTCTCTGCATATGCTGCCAGACCTGTTGAGTTTTTGCAGAAATTTCTGTTTTTGTTACAGTAGTTCTCATCTCACCTCTGGAGTTCAGCGCTTTTATTTGTCTTTGGACAGAGGCTGTAATAAGATCAGGAGTTGCATGGCCTTGGCAAAAACCAAATTGTGTCAGTGAGCGGGTAATTATTGAACAAGAACTGTTTGATGGCACTGCTGACTACGCCTTCCTTCACTTCGCTGATGCTTAAGAATAGGTTAATAGGATAATAATTAGTCTCATTTTGTTTGTCCTGCTTTTCGTGCAAAGGACATATCTGTGCAATTTCCCACATTTCTAGGTGGTTGCCAGTATTGTGTATTCTGGACTAGTTCGGCTAGAGAGGTATCTAATTTTGTAGCCCAATTCTTCACTATTGCAACAAGGATCTTGTCTGTAGCCTTGGCGTAACTGAGTGCCTTGAGCCATTTTGTGATGCCAGAAGGAGTAAATCAAAATGGCTGAAGGTAAATGTCTGTGGTGATGGGGACCACCGAGGAGGCCGAGAAGGATCAACTACTTGGCATTTCTGGCTGAAAATCTTTGCAAACACTCAGCCTTGTCTTTTGTATTGATCAAAGTCAGAAATCACACGACACCAGATTATAGTCTGATAGGTTTATTTGAAGTAATTTCAAGTAAACCTGTTGGACTATAACCTGGATGCCATGTGATTTCTGACTTTGTCCACCTGAGTCCAACACCGGCACCTCCACATTTTGTATTGATGTAATAGGCTTCCCCCATGGAGGATGGGGGTATGGAGGTTTTTCTTCATATTCATTTAAGAGATGTGGGCATTGCCATCTGAGCCAGCATTTATTGCCCATCCAAAATTTCTCAGAGCAGTTAAGAGTTATTTGCATACTGTCCTCATGGGATTTAAACCAGTTCCCACATTCTGACTGTTAGTATAGTTTGTTATGCTTCCCCTAGTTCCTTACCCCTCAACCTTTATTTCGTAATCTTCCATGAAGTACTTTGTTAAACATTTTCCTATAGTTGATGAACACTTTTTACCTATCTACTATCTCTGATATTTCCTCAAAGATAGCAGCAAAGTGTCATTTGATGACCATGACCGGCATTCTTGCAATGGTGCAAGCCTGCAAGGGCAAGGCAAGCAGGAACCTGCCGTGTGGGGTCTACCGCTATAAAGATTTTGGATTCAGGGCTACAATTACCTAAAAGAGGCAGTTGACTGTTTGTAAGAAATTTTTGAGATTTGTTTATTTAGAAGCTGCAGTTGAAATGAGACAACAGCTAAATAGACAGGGAAATACAAGTTGTGACTGTTGAAGGTGCTTCCCATACACCAGATTGATTGGTTGGTTGGTTGGCACACAGTATTGTTGATCTCAACAGCTTGTGAAGTCAGAGTCTGGCTGTCTAGCCAGACTGATGAAACTTGATAATGTATTTCAGTTCTAAGGAGTGATATTTTGCATATGTCAATCATCTGTTTGAACTTTTCTAATCAGTGAATGCAGAACAGATCCAAATATGTACGATGGTCACCTCCCTCTCTGTCCATCTTCCAGTGGAGATCATTGATTCCTTCTGAGTATCTACATTGAAAAGGAATACATGTAATATGATTCTACCAACTTGGGAATGTCAACATGAACATGCAGTATGATTCTACCAATTTAGGAATGTCAATATGAACACGTTACAGTGTGGGATGATCTGTGACTACTCTCAAAATATCTTCTGGATTGAACATTCTGACACAACTGGCGTGCAGACACATGTCCTAGATGATTTCTTCATTATGGTTACCTACACCATGTTTCAAATGTTTTACAATTAGGTGACCAACAACACACTCATCCATTGGAACAGTTACTGTAACTGTGCTTTTATATAGAATGCTGGTCTGGCTGCCTTCAAACCAGCAGTGCTGGCACCCTATGCCACTTTGGTTAATCAGCTGGCAGATGTGTGATCATGTTTGGCTGCCACACCCTACCAAGTGTCAGAAGCCGCAGGAAACTTTCACCCATAATTCTAGGGATCCCCGCAATTTACTCATCTCTCCCATAGAATCCCAGGATTTTAATTATTTTATGCTTCCTCTTAACATTTCTTCTGCTATTAATAACTAATTTTAGTTGGTTTGCAGCATCTTTGTCCATTGCGTCTTAAACCATTGAACATTTCCTTTTTTGATAGAATATCCTCATTCTGAAGTTTGGCAGTTTTAAAAATATAGTATTGATCTACAGTTGATTACTTGTACAGCATCTTTAATGCAGAAAGAAATTCCAAGATGTGCCACAGTCATTGTTCTGCCAGAAATTGTCACAAACAAAGGAGGAGATAGCCAGAGCATTAACCCAAATAAAACAAAGAACTGCACATGCTGAAGATTGGAAACAAAATCAGATATCACTGGCAAACTTCAGCAGTTCTGGCAACATCTGTGAAGAGAAAACAAACCGAGTTAGCCCATTGACACTGCTTCAGAAATAAAAACTTGATCCACAGAATAATTGGCACAAAGGATGTAAATGGGGAGTGAATTCCAAAGCACATTGGAGACGCAGGCATTCATGACGGTTATAGAGAGTAAGAGATGGGCAAGTGGTCAGAACTGAAGGAGCCTATATTCTTTTGAAGAGAGATGAAAAATATTGGAGAAATATGAGAATTTCTGTAGGAATTTACAGATATTATCAGTTACTTATCTCAACCCTATATGTTCAGTGTTTATAAGTTGGACAAAATCCTTGCAAGCCCACTTTTTCAGATGATATCATAGTCTTTGTTAATACTTCATTCCTCCACTAAAGAGAATGTAATTTTTGGGTATGGCTTCATGTACAGACAGACCTTGGTTTCTTGCCTAAGCATCAAATCTTCACAAAGAGCCTGGTGCCAGCTTTGTATCATGGATGGTATCGTAGCTAATCTGAACCATCAACAAGCATTTTCTAGCAGGAATAAGAATGATTGCCGCTTTCATCCCTTTCAAGTCTGAAATGTAGTGGAAGAACACTATGAAAGGATGTGAGAAATGCAATGGGAGTAAATCATTCAAAAAGATCATGGTTAATCCAAATCTCTCAACTTTATCTACCTGCTTCCAAAGCCCTTAATAACCTAAATGAAGGCTATCATCCTCAGTTTTGAAGTCTTCAATTTCCCTCGTTTAAACATTTTAACATTGTAGACTGTGTCTACGTGAATTAATTTATTGTTATTGACATTTTCCAATTCCTAACACAGCGACAAGAGCTAGAATCTGAAAACAAGAAGCTGAAAAATGAACTTAATGAGCTAAGAAAAGCCATTGCAGAGAAGGCAACCGGGGAGAATTCAACAAACGATGTGGATAATGCATACAGTGTACTGCTAGATCAGCTGAGGGTGGCCAATGAAGAGCTGGAGGTGCGCAAGGAGGAAGTTCTCTTGCTGAGAACTCAAATTGTTGATGCTGCTCGTCAGAAGGAAGTGGTGGGAAGCATGGTAATGTACTTGGTATTCATACAGCTTCTCTTTTCTTCATTCATTTGACCTGTCTTCCCCACTTACACATTTCACACTTTACAAAATCACATCTAATACAGTACCAGAAGTTGTACGTGCTCTGGATCACAACAACTCACTGAATAACAAAAAAAAGTCCTCCTGTCACCCCTGATTTCTTTTACCAATCACTTCAAATATCCTTTCTTCTAGTTATCTAAGCTTCTGCAATTGGGAATAATTTTCCACATTAAAACTTCTTTCAGATCTCTTTTTAACTGTCTACAAACCTGCTTCTTAAATTTCTGCACGTTACTGAAGTCACTTATACCAGTTCAATAAATCTCTTCTGTATCATCTCCAAAGTTTTTATGTTCTTCTTCCTAGCAATTGAACTGAATACTCTAGCTGAGATCTAACAAATACTGTTTTAAAGGATTAAGGTGACTGCTTCTGTATTCTATTCCTCTGTTAGTAAGTCCAAAGATCCAACATGCTTTTAACAAATTTCTCAACTTGTTCTGCCACCTTGAATAATTCATGTGCAAACATTTCAGGTCACTTGCTCTCTGCCTTTAACAGGTTTATATTCATGATTAGTCTATGCTCATATTTGATTCCCCTCTTATTGCACTTTACTTATAAAATGGAGAGGACTTTTTTTTTTTGTAGTCTGTCTGAGTCTCAAAGGTGTGAACCTTACAATTGTCATATGCCTCCTTTTTCTAGTTAATGTTAACTTCAATATCTGTAGTCAACTTGGGAGTTCAATCTTTTGAAATAGCAAGAACTGCAGATGCTGGAGTCAAAGATAACAAAGTGTGGAGCTGGAGGAACTCAGCAGGCCAGGCAGCATCAGAGGAACAGGAAAGCTGATGTTTTGGGTCGGGATCCTTCTTCAGTTCTATCTTTTGTTCTGATCCTATACCAGACTGCCAAATTTGTGGTATAGTCTGGCTAGGGACAAATAACTTATCTTTAAATGGACAAAATGTAAATTTCGTATACTTAAGAGAAGCCGTTAGATTCCATGGTTTTGAACAAACAATGATAAACTTGACTGTACAAAGTTAGAATAGTGATGTGATCTACAATATATATACAATCTACATTTTATCAACCAGGATTAGCCTGAGGTAATTATGTATAACGGACAAACTATGATTGAACACCTCACAGAGTACATCAAATATCAAATACAGACAAGTTAGATCCTGCAAATTTCTCAGCAATGTCTCCCTCCCACCCCGTAGTGACACTGTGTGTCATCACATCTCATTACTGGTACCATGACATTGCCATGACACCAGTTTCTCTCCAGATCTTATTGCTGCTTTAAGCTAGAGGGACTTCTGTTAGCCTGCCAGCTTTGAAAGGACACACACCATCTTTAATTGGATGGCACTATTCCGCTGTGGTTGCTTTGGAGAAAATCACGTACGTGACTGTTTCCCATCACGTGTACTTTTCTAATCCCCATAATAGCCAGACTGGGGTCTTAAAACTGGCAGGAAAATCCTGCCCACAGTGTTTTGCCAATTATAGCCTACATGAATCTGGTCAACTTTGTCAATGCTTTCACATATTCCAAAAGAAGCCCACATTTCTGCTCAGTGAGAACATTCCAGCAAGCTTGGTCATGTCAAATATGTAACTTCATTTTTTTTTGTTTTTTGCAGGCTAATTTGACTGAGAAGTATGAGTGGAAAAGAAGTGATGAAAACACTGAGAAAGATGATGTCATTGAGGCTTACAATGGTATATGTGAAACCAATAGGTAGGTGGGGTTGGTTCAATTTATATTGTCTCTCCCGGTCTCCATTGTGATTTTATATCAACTTACCACAAGTATTCTCTTATCACAACAGGAACAGGCTGGAAAAATTTATAGGTTTGCTCTCCACAGAAATCTGACAACCAAATCATACTGGGTGTTAACCCTTTTTATTCCAGTGTGAATAGAACAGAGGCTAGTGGAATGATATTCAGTCTCTTGATGTGTGAATTCTTAAGTGAATTGGATTTCAGGACTTGGAAAGCAATTCCTGCCCTGCAGTGCAAAACTCCTCTCAAAATGTACTGTACTAGAAATAAGGACTCTAATGCAAACTGCAGGATAGCAATCTGGGCCATAAATCCTCATTGGTTTGTTTTTCTCATCTATTAACCTTCAAAGATGTAGTAACCAACTGCAGTACACTCATTGTATTGTTCTTCCTGCTGCCTTACTGGAGATCAACTAACTCCATAAATTAAGTCAAACCTTGTTGGTGCTACGGTTTATATACCACTGCACCACAGATGGAGGAAGAGGTCATTTTCAAATGGTGATCGAAAAGCTGGCGATTTTTCAGAGAAGAACACTATCCTGTGATGCTGCCATTCAAACTGTTTATTCAACTAATTGTTTTCCTGACTTGGAAATATATTGGTATTCCTTCACGGTCACTGGGTGAAAATCCTGGAATTCCCTCCCTAAGAGCATTGTGGGTGTACTGAAAGCACACAAACTGTGGCGGTTCAAGAGGGAAGCTCTACACCACCTTCTCAAGGGTAACTAGGGATGGGCAATAAATGCTGGCCAAGCCAGCCACACCCACACCCACACCCCATGACCGAAATAAGAAAAAAAATTGCATGTTACAGAAAAGAGAAGCCTGGGACTAGATTTTCATCTTGAGTTGGGTGAAAATGGGGCTGCAAAAAACTGCATTTCCATAGCAGGGTGCTGGCTGCAGTCGAGCCAGCCAATCAGAGAATGAATTCGGAAGCAGCCATTAGGGCTGTCGTGTACCAAGACAGTTTATATACATTGCTATTAAAAAAGGCCTGCTTCAGTGTTGTAACAGGCCAAGTTATAATTAAAGCAGTAAGAGGCTCATGCCATTTTCCATTACACTCCAACCTCTCTTAGGCCCTTGTGGCAAAGAGTGCGTTAAACGTATTTGTTTACGCACGATAAAGAAAATTAAAGTAGTTTCCATTTCTGTTAAAGGGTACTTTAAAGAGTCTGGTTGATTTGGCATTTTGTTAGCCTGTAATGAAAAATAGTAATTTTTAAAGTGAAATGTGAGGAATCTTTTCAAAAATAAAAATTTTCATTGGCTATACAGAGTGTATTGTGGTTGAATAGGTCTAGTTTGGCCTAGACCGTATAAGAGGCCATGGTGAATGGGTAGAAGGGCATTGCGGGAATGGATAAGACTTTTGGATCATACTTTTCAAAATGTTCTCTCAGCCAGACTGGCTGTTGACCCCTCTGATCAGAGCATCCATCCAGGTCAGGGTTGCAAGGTGTAGGCATGCCAACAGTTCCAATCAATGCACAGGCTTAAAAAACACTGCAGAAAATTGGAAGTCCAAGGAATGGGTTTAGAAATTCCATTTTCACCACTCCAGGCAATCTCCTCAACTTCATGGAAATTCAGGCACAAAAACAGAAGTTGCTGGAAAAGCTCAGCAGGTCTGGCAGCATCTGTGAAGAAAAAATCAGAGTTAACGTTTCGGGTCCTGTGATCCTTCCTCCCAGATTGCCAAAGCTTTTCACTTTATATTCCTCAGGACAAAAATAAGGGTGCCAAATTTCAAATGATCACAACAATTTAGTTTTTAATCCTTTTGTTTTCATTTATGAAATATGAATGTTGCTGACCATTTTGACTGTTCATTGACCATTCCTAATTCCAAAGGAGATACTGCCTTGAACTGCTGCAGTCTCTGATGGGTAGATACACCCACAATGCTGTTAAGAAGGAAGGTACAAGATTGTGAAGCAGTGACAACAAAGGAACATTGATATAGTTCCAAATCAGGATAATGTATGACTTTGTGGCGTACTTGCAGGTGGTGGTGTTTTATGTATCTGCCCCTCTAGGTCGTAGTAGTCCCAGATTTAGACGATGCTGTTCAAGGAGGCGCGATGAGTTGCTGCAATGCATTGGTGGTGGAGGGTGTAAATTTTGAAGATGATGAATGTGGTGCCAAGCAAACAGGCTGATTTGTCCTGAATGGTGTCAAGCTTATTGATTGTTGTTAGAACTGCACCAATCCAGGCAAGTGGGAGTATTCCAACACACCCCTGATGATGTATACCTTGTGGACACCCTTTGGGAAGTCAGGGGGTGATTTAGTTGCCGCAGAATTCCCCATAACCTACCTGTTCTAGTAGCCCTATTTTTATATGGCTATTATAGCTCGCATTCTAGTCAGTGTAAGCCCCAGGGTGGTGACAGTGTAGGATTTCGCAATGGTAATACCATTAAATATCAAGGTGTGAGATAACAAGGTGTAGAGCTGGATGAACACAGCAAGCTGAGCAGGAAGGCTGACATATTGGGCCTAGACCTTCTGAAGAAGGGTCTAGGCCCGAAACGTCAGCCTTCCTGCTCCTGTGATGCTGCTTGGCCTGCTGTGTTCATCCAGCTCTACACCTTGTTATCTCAGATTCTCCAGCATCTGCAGTTCCTGCTATCTCTGAAATATCAAGGTGTGATGGTTAGATTCTCTCTTGAGTGCATAGTAATTGTGTAGCAATTGGTAAGTAATATGCATGCATACATCCGCTCAAGTCCGAAAATTGCACAGGCCTCATATGGACAGGGCCTGAGGTGTCGTAAACTGTACTGAACATCATTTGGTCATCAAACATGCCCATTGATGACCTCATGATGGAAGGGAGGTCATTGACAAATGATCTGGGATGGTTGGCCTTAGGACACTGAACGGAGTTTTTGCAGCAATGTATTGTGACTGAGATGATTGACTTCCAGTTACCAAAACCATCCTCCTTTATGTTAGTTATGAACTCCACTCAGACATTTCCCTCCTGATTCCCATTGTCTCATGTTTTGCTACGTCCTATACTTGGTTAAATGCTGCCTTGATGACTTGGGCAGTCACTATATCCCCCTTACCTCTAGAGCTCGGCTCTTGTCTGTGTTTTGGACCAAGGCTATAATGAGGTCAAGAGCTAGTGGCCCTTGCAGAACACAAACTGAGCATCCCCATGTTTTTACCTCCTTTTGTGTGCAGTTTTAAATAAGATTTGTCAAATCTACTAATATAAGCATTAATTGCTTGCATTTGGAGCTAAGTCTCTTTAGGCAAAGTGCAACTTGGATTGCTCCCAGTAGTTGTTTCTCGGTTTTTGATGTAGGAATCAAACTCTCAACTGTTATTCTTTGTGCCATGGTATTGCGGCATAGAGAGGCAGACTGTTGAGCTTAATGTATTAATATTTTAATCTTATAATATTGTCAGGCAAAGTGTTTGTTAGTTTACACAACTGGGCAGCAACCTGGAAATCACCATGCAGGGTACCCATATGATGGCCCTTTCAATATAAACTTGAGTAAACCAACTGCGTGCACAATGGGAATAAAAGGGAATTTTGTTGGCAAGTACTTTTTTACAGAAGGGAAAGAGGGTGAGGTGTAGACATCTTAATAGAGTAATACATTAGACAACAATCGTGCCATTGAGAGAGAGAGAGAAAAGATCTAGAATGCTGATACGTACTTACTTTCTATGTTACCTTTGTTCTTTCTGAATGACTCTTGCTTCTTTCTCTCCCTTTTGCTCCTGCTTTCTTTCTTCTGTCATTCACTTGCAGCCAGGCTGAGGACTGGCGATACCTCAATGAAGATGGCGAACTAGGCCTAGCATATCAAGGCCTAAAGGAAGTTGCCAGGTCAAATCTTTGTTTGTTCTTTGTTTTAAATAACTACAAGATTTAAGCGTGTTGGAAAAAGTTCAATTTTCACCTGGTGCCATGAAGATAAATGCATTGCATTTATGAATGAATTTGAATTTGGGATGTTTTGAAAACTTTACACCTCAATCTCATTATTCAGCTTTGTCACTGTTAAAGGTCATTCAGCAAACAGGTTAAAGTTCAGGTGTGGAGGGTTCGCAGTTCATATTGTTAACAATTCATTCCTTCAGGGTGTTCCTAATCCCCACAGGATTTCAAAATATATTGAATTATTTTTAAAGATTACAATTCTTGTATTTACCTTGGACATTTTCTATTGTGGAACTGAACTGTCTGACCTGAATTCAATAATGGGTACTTGGCTATCCTGTGAACCTTCCAGAATTTTATGCCTTGGCAGTATAGGCTGAGCAGAATTGACTTCAGTCGTAGAGCCTTTTCTTTTATTAATTCATGGAATTACGGCGTCACTGGCTGGGCCGGTATTTGTTGCCCATTTCTAATTGCCCAGAGGGCAGTTAAGAATCAACTACATTGCTGTGGATCTGGAGTCACATGTAGGCCAGACCAGGAAAGGACAGTAGTTTCCTTCCCTAAAGGACATTAGTGAACCAGATGGGTTTTTCTCTCAATCAGCAATGGATTCATGGTCATCATTCGCCTCCTAATTCCATATTTTTATTGAATTATTGCACTATCAACAATAGCTGGATTCAAACCCGGGTCCCCAGGTGTTGCCTGGGTATGTGGATTAACGGTCCAGTGATAATACCACTAGGCTGTCTCCTCCCCCGAAAGCTGTTCATGTATATTGTCTCAGGTCATGCATGAAAACTAATTAGTTGGGCACAGTGCTGTAGTGTTGACAAGACAGCAATGTTAAACTTTTGGATTTGGAATGGTTCCAAAAAATAGCTGCATTGGACTCAATGTTTTTTCTGTTTCTGTCTCCACAGATACTGTCAGATCTGCTGAGTATTTCCAACATTTTCTGTTTTTAGTCAATATTTCCAGCATCCACAAAGCTTTTCCTAAGTATCTTATATGATAGTTATATATTAGTTATAAAATGATAAATTATTAGTCTACTTATTAGTGTGAAATAAGAACTGGTGGTCCCCAACTAGAGAACACAAACCGAGTACAGTATAATGAAACAAAAAACTCTTCTTTTTTGATGGAGAGAGAGAGTGTTTTAAGAAACAAACTTCTTAACCAGCATTTCCAGTTGCTGTTTTCTAATTTTAAGCTATTGTATCACAGGCTGCTGGAGGCACAGTTGCAGTCTCAGGTGAGGCAACATGAGGAAGAGGTGGGAAGAATGCAGACTCAGATTGAGGTTCTGAAGGAGGATTTGGAAAAGCAACAGCAGGTCATCACACAGACACTCCAGATGTCTCCAGAAGCACGCATTGAGTATAATGTGCAACAGGAGATCACACGCCTCACCAATGAGAATCTGGTAAGATGGTTAGTGCCGACGTTTGGAGAGAATGGGCTTCAACCGTATGCTTACATTATGGACCATACTGCACATTGTTGTGTTTATTTTGTTAGCTTCATGTGTCAGGTTTATACAAGTTTAACTCCGTAACTTTGTGGCTTGAGCCACATCCCAGTGGAATTTTTGTTTCAAATGACTGACTGTTCTCAGGATGCTGCAGTGTGCTGCATGCAAGTCCACAGCTGTAGACCAGGCAGTAAGCTCCTGATTTTCAATTCTGTTGCAATCGGCAATAACCATATGGATTCCCTAAGATGAAGATAAACAGAGTTTTAAAAAAAAATTGCAGTGTTTATTAACTTTATCAGATCCCTTTATCATTGATAGAAACTGTTAGCTTTTCCTCCTGTACTTTCTGTTCTAGAAATAAGTAAAAGAGAGAGATTCTCAACTTAGTCAAAGTTTCACTGTGAAGCAGACCATAAACAGTGTGTTAGAATGGAGTGGATCAGCAAGCCTGATGACAGCCACAGGAAAAGAAAAGGTGATCTTCAAGTGGTTTAAAAGATGAATTTCCTAGCTCTGACAGAAATTTTTATCATAAAACGCATAGAAACCAATAACAACATTTCTGTCTTCTCAGGTATGTCTGTAGTTAGCTTTGGAAATAATTACATATTGTTCTGTGCACCTCAGTGACAGCTTTATCAATATCAGAACTGGTATTTTAGGAATTACAAACTGGTTTGTGTAAGCATAGAAACACCAGAAGGTAGGAGTGGAAGTAGGCCATTTGACCCCCTCAAGCCTGCTCCGCCATTTAATATGATCCTGGCTGATCATCAAGCTCAGTACTCTAATCCTGCCATCCCACCTTGGTTCCTTTAGCCACAAGAGCCAAATCTATCTCCTTAAAACACAATTATTGGCCTCAACTATTTTCTGTGGTAGTGAATGCCACAGACTCACCAATTTCTGGGTGAACAAATTTCTCAGTCGTAAAATATTTACCCCTTATGCTTAAACTGTGACCGCTCGTTTTGGATCCCCCCATGTGGGAACATGCTTCCTTTATTAACCTGTCTAGTCTTGATAGAATTTTATAGGCTTCTATGAGATACCCCTCATTCTTCTAAACTTGAGTGAATCCAATCCTAACTGACTCTATCTCTCCTTCAATGTCAGTGCTGCCATTCCAGGAATTAATGTGGTAAACGTTTGCTGCACTCTTGCTAAAGCAAGAATATCCTTCAGATAAAGAGACCAAAACTGCGCACAATATTCCAGGTGCAGCCTCACCTATTTTGCAGCAAGGCATCCTTGTTCCTGTACTTGAATCCTCTTACTATTAAGGCCAATGTACAGTTTGTCTTCTTTACTGCCTGCTGCAGGCTTACTTTATGACTGGTGCACGAGGACAACCAGGTCTCCATTGAACATTTCCATCTTACAGCCATTCAAATAATAATCTATCTTCTTATTTTTGCTATCAAAATGGATAACCTCACATTTATCCATATTATACTGCATTTACCTACTCATTCAGCCTGTACAAATCACACTGCAACATCTCTGCACACTCCTCATAGGTCACCTAGGGGTGGGAGAATGGTGTGTGTGCATATAAATCACTGATTCAGCTTTCCTTCTTCCCTGACTTCCTATTGACAATCCCTTTGTCTGCTTCTGCTTTTTTTTTCCCTCTCTGGCACTGTTGCTATCTATACTTCTCATTCTTCACTAGCTGCCCCATGCCCACCATGTCAGCATAAACACCACCACTTTCTAGTTGCTTTCAGTTATAACAGGGTCACCGGACACAAAACATTAAATGTTGTTTGTCATTTTATATAAATGATTTGGATGAGAATTTGGGAAGCATGTTTGGTAAGTTTGCGGATGGCACTGAAATTGGTGGTATAGTGGACAGTGATGAAGGTTATCTAAGATTACTAAGGGATCTTGATTAATTGGGTCAATGGGCTGAGGATTGGCAGATGGAGTTTAATTTGGATAAATGCGAGGTATTGCATTTTGATAAAACAAACCAGGGAAGGACTTATACAGTTAATAGGAGGTACCCTCGGTCGTGTTGTCGAACAGAGAGACCAGGGGTTCAGATACATAGTCCTTTTGAAAGTTGTATCACAAGTAGACAGGGTGGTTAAGAAGGCATTTAGCCCGCTTACCTTCATTGCTCAGACCATTGAGCACGGGAGTTGGGACATCGTGATATCCCAAGCAAGGGTCTTTTCCCCAAGGTTGGGAAGTTCAAAACTAGGGGGCATATTTTTAAGATGATAGGAAAAATGATTTAAAAGGCACCTGAGGGTGCAACTTTTTCACACGGGGAGTGGTTCACATGTGGAATGAACTGCCAGAGGAAGTGGTAGATGCAGGTACAGTTACAACATTTAAAGGACATTTGGATAGATACATGAAAAGGAAAGGTTTAGAGAGAGATGGGCCAATTGCAGGCAAATAGGACTTGTTTAGTTTGGAGAAACTTGGTCAGATTAGACAAGTTGGACCAAAGGGTATGTTTCCGTGCTGTATGACTCTGACTGTTTCTGTCTCCATAGGTGCTGCTAGACCTGCTGAGTTTCTCCAACAATTTCTGTTCTTGCTTGTTTCAGATTTCCACCATCCATAATTCTTTATTTTGTTTTAGTCAATAAATGTAATGTCTGTACTCTTCTAACATGCCAACCAATGCGGAGCAGCATTTGATAAAGCTGAAGTTGTAGAATGCGAGTTACAGGAAGTAGGTTTACAGTGCACACTGCAGTTTGCATACATCATCTAGTTTTAATTGTCAGGTGATATGAGGAACTGGAGCATTGAAGACAACGTAGAGAAGAACCACGAGGTTAATCCAGATGTCAGGGGACTGAGTTCTGAGAAAAGACTAAAAGAAATCGCTTCAGTGTAAAAAGCTGTTTGAGAAGTGTTCTTTCAGAAATACATGAATGTCCAGGGAGTATGAAAGTTAGAGTTCAGATTAAAGTGAGGATAAATAGGTTCAAACTATGAAAAATACATTTTATGACTATTAGAAAAATCACTTCTTGGAAAATGGTTGATCAGTGTGAAAAACGGCTTCCAAATAGTGTTGGAAGTTAACTTAAACAGAAGCTTGTATCTCTCTCTAATCTTTTATTCTTGTATCATAAAACAGAATAACCTGTTGTGTTCCACAGTGATAGTTCCATTGTGTAAGGAGCCATTATTTTGGACATAAGTTGGTGAATAACTCAAAATTATCAAAACTACTGATATTTATCAATTGTCTTGTGTTCTAGGACCTTAAAGAACTAGTAGAGAAACAGGAAAAGAATGAGAAGAAGCTGAAGAAGCAACTCAAGATCCACATGAAGAAAGTTCAAGAGCTTGAAGGTTTAACTGAATTTAGATTGTCACTGACTGGGATCAGATCTGGAGGGGGGTTTCCGTTACACATAGTTCCATTCTGTTATGTTAGACAGGATTTAAAGCTCCACCACTGGCAGGCTTGATGGTGGGGAAGCATGTTATATCCAGCAGACAGCCTCTTTGCCCATCCCTGACCTCTACTACAATTTTGCTATTGACAGAGGTGGCGTTAGGTGGCCTGACCACCAATGGGTAAATTAAAGTCTTTAATTGTGCAGTTAATTCTCATGTGACACACTGTCACCAGAATTAAACAAATTTTGGTGTTAAATGCTGCAAAGACAGCTGTTCTCCCTGGATTGTTTCCTTTCCCTTATATAATTCAGTCTGTGAATACCAATTCAAACATTGGGGAGATCATTGGCTCCAACGGAAATCCCAGAATTGAGCGTTTTATGGTTACTATTTCTCAAGGACTGGCTAGTGAATGGTAAATGCCGGAAGCAAAGAAAAACGTAAACTTGTGTGTATATAAAACAATGTATATAGATAGATCAATGGATAATGTATTCTGATGCACAAAATGTTTAATTGAGAATAAACAAAATAAGAACATAAGAACTAGGAGCAGGAGTAGGCCGTCCGGCCCTTCGAGCCTGCTCCGCCATTCAATAAGATCATGGCTGATCTTTTCGTGGACTCGGATCCACTTACCCGCGTTCTCACCGTATCCCTTAATTCCTTTATTGTTCAAGAAAAATCTACCTTATCTTTAAAAATGTTTACTGAAGTAGCGTCAACTACTTCACTGGGCAAGGAATTCCATACATTAACAACCCTCTGGGTGAAGAAGTTCCTTCTCAATTCAGTCCTAAATCTGCTCCCTCTAATCTTGAGGCTATGCCCTCTTGTCCTAGCTTCACCTGCCAGTGGAAACATCCCCTCTACTTCTATCTTATCTATTCCCTTCATAATTTTATATGTTTCTATAAGATCCCCCCTCAATCTTCTGAATTCCAATGAATATAATCCCAATCTACTCAGTCTCTCCTCATAAGCCAACCCCCTCAACTCCGGAATCAACCTAGTTGAACCTCCTTTGCACCCCCTCCAGTGCCAATACATAAATATCTTGCTTTTGAAAATGGTCCAGTCTAGGCAATGTGCATCTACGTCCAAATTCAATGTCAGCTAAGAGCTAGCTACTAGGTCTGGGACAATACGAATTGCACTTTTCAATAAGAAGGTTTCAAAAAGAACTGCTGGGGAGATATAAGCATCTGCTGAACTCAGTAAGGAAAAGCAGGAATCTGTTGTTGAGCCATAAAATCATGAAGATTCCAAGTTTCATCCCTGATCCATTCTAAGTTATCTTAGCTCAACTGAACCAACAGTGAGGATGAGAGCCTTAATGTTTCCAGCCAAACCAAAAAAAAAATCTCAGCCAAGAAATTGTTGACTAAGTTCTGGCAAGAAAAAGACTTTGGGCAACGTCAGGGTTGAATTTGCCATCTAAGCGTGCTCATGGAGAGACCAATAAAAGAGTTTGCAAGTTGACTCTTGGCTAAATTGTACCCAATATAAATATGGAAGAGAATGGGAGGAAATATTAGTAGGAGAATAAATGTGAAGTTGGAAAGTAGACTCATGAATGCACTTTATCATTGGCGAGAAGTAGGACTAATGCCACAAATCGAAAGAAAACTTTACTTTGATTTTTTTAAAACTCATTTCAGTGTTGTTCCTTTTTGAGTTATGGCATATTTACGTATGTTTATTCTCTATCTTACCCTTTTTTGTAGTGTATATCCACTACTTTTTTTTTGTTTTTTTTTCTAAATCACTTTAACTGCTTTTGAATTCCTTCTATTAAGTTAATAGGATGTTTGCTATGTTTTCAGCAAGGAACTTAGTGCAGAAGGAATCAAGACCTGAGCTAACCAGACAGGTCACTGTGCAACGGAAAGAGAAGGAGTTCCAGGGAATGTTGGAATACCACAAGGACGATGAATCCCAGCTTATTCGCAACCTCATCACAGGTACTCACCTGAGGAATTTTACAGTGAAAGAGACATTGCTATGTAGAATCTTAGTCTGGGTGATTTATCCATTTTCACACCTTTCAGCACCTTCTCCTTCATGGTGGCCACTGCACTCCCCTCTGACTCCAGACTCTCTTGAAGTAATGGTATGCTACTGGTATCTTCCACCGTGAAGACTGATGCAAAATACCTCTTCATTTACTCAGCTATTTCTTTGTTCCCCATTATTACTTCAGCAGCCATGCTTGGTAATACCTGCCTTTTTCTCATTTCAGGAGGAAAGCTGCTCCTGTTAGGGCAGAAAGTGTCAGAATGGATGGTGGCCCACCGAATATTCTGCTTCTTACTCTCTATGTGGAAAGGAGCCTGACCCTGACCACCCTAAGTGGCTGACTAAGCTAGTCCAAGCCCCTAGACTGATAGGAAAGGCTCCCCTTGAATTAGTCTGCTGGGGCAAAGGCTATTACCCTTGACCTGATTGAGGCCAATGAACAATCCATGACAAGCTTCCTGATTTAGAGTATGTGCTAAACACCACAGAACAACAGTACTGTCAATCTTGTGTCTTTGGCAAAGGGGGCAAAATGTAAACAGGAAAGGCAACAGAAGGTAGAAATGCTGTAAAGCATCCAGACAGGTGCAGAGTGAGTGAGAGGTATATCAACAACTGGACAGGCTGGAGATGCATATCCCTGAGTACACAGTGTCCTTGTAGCAGCATTGAAGTTCCAAAGCCTTCTGTGAGTGGACTGGGTATGTGTCATGAGGGTTGGCACACGTCAGATCCCAATGTGCATGGATGTAAAGTGTGTGTGGCCAGTGCCCATAGAGCACTTCCTGAGATGTTGGTGCCCAGAGTCTAACCTGAATGCTCTGACTTCCATATTAAAAATTCTTGACATCTAACTTGTTTGGCACCTTTGGGGGAAATTGAGCATTAAGGCAAGTTGTGGTATTAATAGCGTGTTTTCCAAGCTATATACCCCTTATCCAGTGACTCAATGCTCCCCACTGAGTAACTGATCACGCTGCTTGTCAAAAGCACAAAAGATGCAGTGAGATGCTCCTGATGTCAAGATATGTCTCGCCAGATCTCTCATCCAATTCCACCACAAAGCTTGCCATAGTGCACGTCATTCAGAGGCCGAATAAGATTCACCCATTCTTTCTGTCTGTATTTTTACTGTTGAAGATCTATGTATCCATTTGTTCAGAATTCTGACTGTCATTCTCAAGAATCTTATCATTTAAGCTGTATTCTCCATCACTGTTAATGTTCCCAACATTTTATTGCTTCACATTTCTCTGTATTCAATTACACCTGTCCACTTCACTAAGCTATCAGCTTTAGACTGACATCAACATTAGTGCAGTACACATTATTTTACAAACAAATTGCATTATAAAATGAAATAAATACCAAGAATTTATTATCCCTCAAATTTTACCTTTTACAAAAGTAAAGGCCAGCAGCATTTTTGATGGAGAAGTGGTGCTGTCAGAAGCTGGACTAATAACTCCCATATCATCATCCATATAGACCATGTGTAAACATCGTCATTATGATTGGTGACTAAACTGTACGATGCTTTCTCTTTCCCAACCATTTCTAGACCTGAAGCCTCAAGCAGTATCTGCCACTGTGCCAGGTCTGCCTGCATACATCCTTTTTATGTGCCTTAGACATGCAGATTACATCAATGATGACCAGAAGGTTCACTCACTCCTCTCCAGTACCATCAATGGCATCAAGAAAGTGTTAAAGGTAAGCAATTTATTTCTTCCGTGCAGCTAGTAAATATTTCCAGGGTGTGGTTGGAGCTAAGCTAGATTCTGGTGATTGAGCTGTTCATTGAAATTTAACATCCTTTGGTACATTCTCATAAAATAATAACATTCAGTTTATAGCCTCTACATCCCAAACTCCAGGATGCTCTGACACGTGCTGAATTACAGTCTGGTGGAAGCTGACTGCTCACCCATCCAGCTTTCTTTTTGTATACTCACTGAGTGTCGGCAGGATACGCGACAGTTGAGGAATATTATTGTTGATGGGTACCCTCCTTTACAGATTGTCACTGTCTCTGTCTCTAATCTATAGTCATTGAAGAGATATCAAGGGCAGGAACCTTGTCAGTTTTTGTATTTCGTACCCTAACCATAGACTGCTAATCCAGTGCACACAAGAAATTATCATGTTACCTTCCTAACACAGTAATTTAGTTGCACAATTGGCCATATATGAAACCACGGAATTTTATTAATAAGTCTAGTATACTGAAGTTTATTCTTATATTGCAGCTGTTCTGTTAAAAGTACTTTTTGTGTTTTTCAGAAACATAATGATGACTTTGAAATAACGTCATTTTGGTTGTCCAACAGTTGTCGCCTTCTACACTGTTTAAAACAATACAGTGGAGATGAAGTAAGTCTCGTTTATCACTTCTATTTCACAACACATGGTGGAATGTTGTCTCTAAAGTATGGAAAACCATTTCTGGAAAAAGTGAGACTTCTCTCTGCCCATCAAGCACCTCCAGATTAAATATAGCCTGCTGGAGCAAAGGTCCTCTCTAATCATAAATAAAAGCAAAAAGTGCTAGAGAAACTTAGCAGGACTGGCATCATTTGTAGAGAGAGAAACAATTTATGTTCTGAGTTCCATGTGACTTTTCTCTTTGGAACTAAAGAGAGAAGTGGAAAAAAATGGATTTTATAAATATAGAAAAATGTGAGGAGGTGCAAGTACACAGTGCCCTTGTAGTGGTATTACAATGACAGTTGCTGGTGCAGCATTGAAATTCCAAAGCCTTCTGTGAGTGGGTTGGATATGTGCCATGAGGGTTGGCACACGTCAGATCCCAATCCCAAACAGAAGGGCAGGTCAAGGAAAGGTTGAAGGGTAAGGGAGATTAGAGATCAGATGTAACACAAACCAAAAAGCAAAGGGATTGGTAATGGTTGGAGAGAAGCATAGATTCACTCTGACTATTCCTAATGATGTGCCTGAGCCCAGCCTTGGAATAGCATCTCCTATTCCACAATGTAGTTTTTTTTTCCAACTCCCATATCAGCAACCTCTGACTGAGATTGTTAATTATGAAATATCATTAAGGCAATTTTGTGTTCTGAAAATATATCCACATAGATTTGGAATATATTTTATAGGCAAAGATTGATTAGAATATTGAGCACTAACTGGAAACATTTCTGGATTTAACTGATGAAAATTACCAACAGCCTCTAGAAAGGTGAGAGACTTTGGTGACTTGTTAAATTCTTGCTTCACAGAATGCTACGGTAGAGGAGGAGGTTATTTGGCCTATTGTGCTTGTGCCAGCTCTAAGACCTATCCAAGTAGTTATTTAGACGCAATGTACTCCTAGATATGAAATGTCCCTGATATTTTCTTAGCTTAACTTCACACTGGTCTTTTTTTTAAATTAGTCATGTGTTTGTTTCCCTTCTACACTTTTGAAGCCTTAGTTAAACTAAAAGCAAAGGCAGTCTTTTAAGAAAGGTTTAAACTACTAACTATCTTTTTTAATTGCTTCATTTGGGAAACATGAAATGAGTCACCAGAAAGCCAAAAATGAAATTTCCCATAATCTCTGAAATTATCGCATGTCTTAGAAAGGAAGTTTTCAAAATAAGACGAGAATTCTGAAATAAAAACAGGATGCTGGAAATACACAGGAAGTCGAGCACTGTCTGTGCAGTCAGAAACAGTACTATGTGGTATTAAGAGATACATTTGATTTTATTTCAAATTTCCAACTTCTGTAGTATTTTACTTCTACTATAATACAAGGTTCCTCATGGGAGACTGATACAAAAGGTGATGTCACATGGTATCAGGGGTGAGCTGGCAAGATGGATGCAGAACTGGCTTAGTCATAGGAGACAGAGAATAGGATGCCTTTTGGAATGGACGGTTGTGACTGGTAGTGTTCCACAGGGATCTCTGCTGAACAGCTGGGTCCTCTGCTGTTCGTGATACATGTAAATGATTTGGAGGAAAATGTAGCTGGTCTAATTAACAAGTTTGCTGACGATACAACGATTGGTGGAGTTGTGGATAGTGAGGAGGATTGTCAGAGGATACAGCAGGATATGGATTGCTTGGAGGCATGGGCAGAAAGATGGCAGATGGAGTTTAATCTGGACAAATGTGAGGTGTTGCATTTTGGAAGGTCAAGTGCAGGTTGAAATTATACAGTGAATGGCAGAACCCTTAAGAATACTGATATGCAAAGGGATCTGGGTATGTAGGTCCACAGATCACTGAAGGTGGCAGGACAGGTGGATAAGGTAATAAAAAGGCTTATGGCATGATTTGCCTTCATTGGAAGGGGCATTGAGTATAAAGATAGACAATATGCTGCAGTTTTAGGCCATAATTTGGAAAATTGTGTACAGTTCTGGTCACCACAGGACCAGAAGGATATGGATGCTTTGGAGAGGGTACAGGGAATGTTTACCAGGATGTTGCCTGGTATGGGGGACTTTAGTTATGAAGAAAGGTTGGATAGACCATGTTTGTCTTCACTGGAACACAGGAGGTTGAATGGCAACCTGATAGAAGTTTATAAGATTGTGAATGGTTGGATAGAATGGAAAGTATGAGGCTTTTTCCCAGGATGGGGGGGTCAATTACTGGGGCATACAGGTTCAAGGTGCGAGGGGAAGTTTAAAAGAGATGTGCCAGGCATGTTTTTCTCACAAAGGGTAGTGAGTGTCTGGAACATCCTGCCAGAGGAAGTGGTGGAAGCAGACACAGTAGCAGCATTCAAGCAGCATCTGGACGAATACATGAATAGGAAAGGAATGGAGGGATGTGGATCCTGTAAGTGAAGACAGTTTTAATATAGAAGGGCAAAATGTGTCGCACAGGCTTGGAAGGCTGAAGAGTCTGTTCTTGTGCTGTATTTTTTTGTTCTAATAAAATTATGCGCTGGTCAGCCATTCATTTTCATCTTATCCTTTCTAATGAGTGGATTTATTGTTTGAGTCATTTTTAAAATTGCCATTACGCTTTAAATTTATAATTAAAACAAAGTAAGACAGAGTGGGATTTACAACACACCACCTCCCATTTCTGACTCCATCTCCCACACTCCAGTTGGAGGTTTTGGAATCTGTACTGGCAATTAATTAGATGGGAGGCTGCAACGAGGGAACCCCGTCTCCTGCCTGATTAATTCCATTTACATTTCATGAATAGCCTTTCCACCTGAACATTAATTGAGGCACCTAAGTAGGCAAGTAATGCATTACTCAATGGTCTGATCGAGTGACTCAATATCAGCAACAGTGGGAAGGAGCCTGCTGTGAGTAGCCCACATCCAATAGCTCAAATTCCAAGATCACCCTCCTAATCTCTGTGGTCCCCATCCAGCCCTCCCAATAACTTGATGATCATAGGCCTCTGGTAAGTGTATTGCTAGCACTTGCCACCACTGCTATTGATGATTATGGGGATACGGTGCCATATGGTTGACTCTTTAATGCCCTCTGGGCAATCATGGTATGGCCATAAATGTTGGTGTAGCCAGTGAAGCCCACATCCCATGAGCTAATTAAGAAACAATTAGCTGGTCATGAAGTGACTGGGAACTCTTGAGGCATGAGGAATTTTTGGCAGGGAGGATTTCCATGCCTGAGCTCCTTAATCTTGGGGAAAGCCTGACACGCATTTAAATGGTGCCTGATGGGCACTTAAAATGCTGGACCTTCCCCAATGCATACAACGTGTGGGGCTCTTGCTGGTTCTCTGGCAGGCGAGCCCCAATGTCATAAAGATTCCATTCACTGCGTAGAACTCCCATTTGTCCAATACTTTCAATCCCAATTTGCATCAACTAAACTTGTTAACATTCCCTTTGGTAAAACAGCACAGCACAGAGGAGGCTACTCAGCCCATCATAGCCATGCTGGCTGTTTGAATGAGCGATCTAGTTCATCCCATTCCTAGATCTGTCATTATACACTTTCTTTATTTCCCTTTAGTTGTATGTCCTATCATGTTTAAAAGTTACATTAAATTTGTTACCAGAACTGTTTGAGTAACGTGTCCCAAGTGACAAAAGGTCAGTTTATGAATTCTCATGTAACCTCTAGTTCTTTTTGCCTATTACTTGAATCTGTACATACTGCCGTTGCCACCATTTACTCTATCAAAACTACTTTTAACCCTCTCTTCTCTTTGGAGAACAAGCCCAGCTTAGGAGACCATAAGAAAGAGAACCAGGAGTAGACATTCAAGAGGGTATTAGATGAATATTTGGATAGAAATAAGATGCAAGGTTTTGGGGAATGAGTTGGAGCTCGGCATTAGGTAATGATGCTCATTTGAAGAGCTGATGCAGATACGATGGGCCAAATGGTTTCCATCTGCACCATAATGCTCCTGAGATTCATTTGGCCCCCCTTGCTTGCCAAAATTGATCTGCATTTTCCTGAAATATTGTAATATCTCTTGACTCATTCTATGTCCAAATATTTATCTGTCTCAGTTTTAAATTTGCGTGATAACTGAGCATTTACAGATATCCAGCATGGAGAATTGCAAGGATTTGCAGCCTCTGAGTGAAGAAATTTCTCCCCATCTAAGCCAAACAGGCTGAGATTATGCCACCTAGTTCCAGACTATATTGCCAAGAGAAAAGACATCTCTGCATCTATCCTGTCAAGCCCTCCAAGGATTTTATACATTTCTGCAATGAGATTTGATTTGATTTATTATTGTCATGTACAGATACAGTGAAAGGTAATGTTTTGCATGCTAACCAGACAAAATCATACTTTACACAAGTACATCAGGGTAAGAGAACAGAATGCAGAATATAGTGTTACAGCTGCAGAGAAAGATTAACTCTAATATATGAGAGGCCCAATCACAAGTCTAATAACAGCAGGGAAGATGATGTTCTTGAATCTGTTAATACATGTTTTCAAAATTTTGTATCTTGTCACCAATGGAAGAAAGTGTAACTGTGGTGGGAGGGGTCTTTGATTATGTTGGCTGCTTTCCCAAGGCAGCAGGAAGTGCAGTTAATGGGAGGAAAGCTGATTTGCATGATGATCTGAGCTGCGTTCACAACTCTGTAGTTTCTTGAGGTCCTGGGCAGATCGATTGTCATATCAAACTGTGATGCACCCGGACAGGATGCTTTTCTATAGTGCATCTATAAAAATCGGTAAGAGTCATTGTGAAAATGCCAAATTTCCTTATCCTTCTGAGGAAGTAGAGGCATTGGTGTGGTTTCTTGACTGTACATTGATGTGGATGGACCAGGATAGATTGGTGATATTTACTTCTAGGAACTTGAAGCTCTCAACCACCTCCCTGGAAGCCATTTATACAGACAGGAGCGTGTCCTCCATTCTGCTTCCTGAAGTTGATGACCAGCTGCTCCTTTTTGC